ATCATATGGTCTGAGGAAAATTCCCCAGAGAGACTTTCGATACGCCTGACATATTCTGGGACCGAAGTGATGAGCAAATCAAGCGTTGTCGCTCTGTCATTAGCACATCGTGTTGGTACATTAATCAACTGAGACCAAAAGCAGTCATATAGGCATTCAATAAATATGGAATCAAAATTGGATGATGAAGTGTAGTTGGACCAGTTAACATTGGGAAAATTAAAATCTCCCAAAATAAAAATGTTGTTTATTCCAGTTCGATGAACATTGTAAAAGATATTCACAACATTCTGTAGATATCCAGAGTCCATATTCGGTGGTCGGTAGAATACTGCAATAATCATTTTGGAGTTGTTTGTATCTGATATTTCACATACAACAACCTCAACTTCATCCATTTCAAGATCACGGCGGCGAACTGATATAAAATCAGACTTAAAGCACAGCAAAACACCACCACCACGTTGACCCTGTTGTCTATCTCGACGAAAGATAACATAATTTGAGTCGAGAATTTCAGTATCCATTATTCTCTGATGGAGCCAAGTTTCAGTAATAGCTACAACATCCACGCCTTTAGTTCTAACAAGATCCTGAAGTTCACCAAGCTTGTTGCAAATTGATCTTGCATTTAAAGAAAGACAGCGAATAATTGACTTAGACGATTGTTTATCAGAATAGCGAGCTTGCCCAACTGCACGTGGAGGTCCAGGATTAGATTTTATGTCGCCAGAGAGCAATAAATACTCCGTATTAAATGTAGCACAAGTATTTGAGTAGTAGCTGACCCTAGCCGGATGAAACCTCCTTCTCCTCGAGCGTCTTGACCTTTCAAGATCAACATGGCCGCCACGTGGTTCGTAGGAGAGCGTAATTTCATCTTCATACGCCCAGAAACGTGTTTGAGAGTTACTGACAACATCTTCCGAAGAGACGAAAAGTTGGCTGCAAACGGAATAGCCATAATGAAAAGTCACAGGCCTTAGAAAAATGCAAGAAATAACAAAAATAGCGGAGCATACCAACGCGTGACCACCTTCCATTGTGCTAATTTTGTTGTCGAGAAAGCACATTACCTTATAAATACCTTATAAAGAATAGTAACACCTGTGGTTAAACTAGTGCTCTCGCGGTCCCGCGCCATAGTTAGTAGAGAAAATTAAATACTTGAATTTGTCAGCTTACTCGCCTGGGCTTAAATGAAGTAAATTCCTTGGTCGTTACGTTCTCTTATAGTTATAATCTTAGAAAATCGCCAAATATTTTAATTGATAGACCTAATACTGAACTTGGCCGTTGGTTCTTTTGCACATAGGGCAGCAATTGCCTGGAATTCCTTATCAGATAATTTAAGACACTTTTCTAATCCAATTGCTTTTAAAAATAGGCTTAAAAAGGCAAAAAGTGATGCTGTAAATATAAATATTTCTACTATTTCTGATACATTAGGACTCATTTATGTTTATTTTCATTCTGTTTCTTATTTAACACTTTACTCTAGGTTCATTTATCTTATTTTACATAGATAATATACTAGGTCCACATCAGCTGTTCAGTTGTTAATAGTCCCTTTTACAGTGTGGGCTTGGTGGCCAAGCCTTTGAACAGGAGTGAGGCAAAGGGTGACCCTGTTGTAATAAAGACCTGTAGCTAGTTAGCATGATAACAAAGTAATTTACATTTGAAAAGCAGCAACATCTCTATCATAACAAGGTCATCCTAAGCCTCACTCCTGTTTAAAGGCTTGGCTACCAAGCCCAAAACTGTAAAAAGGACTATTCTTTAACCTACTTATCAAATAAAGATATGTATGTATGTATGTATGTATGTATGTATGTATGTATGTATGCAGACCTCTCAACCTCAAAACACCAAAAATCTGGAGACTGATGTAAAAAATCTGGAGATTGGTCAACCGGCAGACAAAACCAAGTAAACACAGGTTCTTGAATTGAGAGAAAGTGTTTTTTGTCCTGCTCATAATTTACTTAAAACATGTGTGGAAATTAACAGGACAGAAATAAACTTTAAATATAAATATATATTTGTAATTCTTAATCTTTTTAAATAAGTTATCTCATTAGTTGTTAGTTTATAGGCTATATTATATTGTTAGGCCTTTTTTTAATAGTTTCATTAGTAAATAGTTGATAGATTATTAATTGTCCCCAATTAGTAGAGGGGTTCTTAACCCCATCGGCTAGATATTTCAAGACACATTAATAAAGTTTATGTATGTATGTATGTATGTATGTATGTATGAATGTATGTATAAATGTATGTATGTATGTATGTATGTATGTAGATGTTATTTTACCAAGACTTGCTTTGCGAATATTTCTAAAGAAGTTCAAACCATTACAGTTAAGAATAAAACAAGAAATAAAAAATCACGAAGAATTCCAGTAATGATGGTCTATTTATGACGAGGCGTATTGTAAGATTTTTCAAACACCATTCAAATGAGGCTAGTTTAATATGTGGTGTCCTCGCTTTGTTTAGAGGGGAAAAAGATAGATCACTTGGTGCAAGAAAATGAAGGAAGTCGAAAATTGACCAATCAGATAGTTTGGCAAGTATTCCGACCACGTGGAAACAAGGAGGAGAAACTTGCGTCTGGCCAAAGCGTGAGTATTTTTCAGGCCCACAATCACATGTTAAGGTGATTGTATCCTGCCACATCAGGATACACCTTTGTTATCTTTTTGATTTACACTATTACACTTTCTCTCCAACAAATTTAAATGTGCGATTTAGAAAATTACTCAATAAATGCTCTGCCGTAATTTCCTTCTTCCCTTGAAGAAAAATGAATTCGTTTTATATAGTGACATTAAAAAGCTGATCTCAAATGCTGCTCCGGAAGAACAAAAGGAGTCGACAAAATTTGATGTCAAAGCGCGATACAAAAATTAATTGGGAAGGTTATGAAATAAATAAAACCACTGCTGGCGTGCTGTTAATTATGTCGGTTGATGATGTCCTTGGTCAGGAGATTGCCCTCAAGATTTCACATTTACCCTCGAAGCTTCGCTTCTCGGCCAGACATTCATTTTTGGATAATGTCTCAGCCACGGACATGTTCAGCTGATATACCAGCCGCCTGAAGGGGTTAATTTACTAAATAAATATAAAACTAAATTTGGAGAGAGGCATAATCATGCTTGTCTGAGTCAGACTTTTAGCCCTACGATCATAGTGCAGGCCCCTGATGTTACTGAAATTTTGTTCGATTTTCGTTTAAAGGCGTGGTATGATTCGCCGGGGATTTCTGTCGATGGCTGTCTCCTGACTTACTTGGGATCTGATTTCTGCGACACATGCAAAAGAGGAGAGCCTAAGGAAATTCACAGTGCCAAATTTAAGTCTCCCTTTACACCAGAGACGCCACGATTTGAGGTGTGGTTTTGATTTATGGAGAATTATTTACGGACAACAAATTTGATTCACATACTTCCTACTTCATGGTAGACTCTCTGGAGATGTTCTCTTTTGTAGGCGGTCGTATTCTTATCTATTTTGAGGCACTGTTGCTGACTCACTTTTTTTGTCTTTAAGAATGAACCTAACTGTGCCTCCATAATAGAAAAAGAAGACTGGTTCTTAACAAGAACTTGTATATTCCTCTTGTAGTATCCTATTCTCACCTTTTCCTTCATGGTAATATGTCAAGTTCGATCTCATTTGGGTACTGAACCCTTCAAACCCTAAGAGCGAGTAACACGTAGTTTCTACTTACAGCATCATCCCTGAATCAAACATCAAGGGCACAAGAATACAGTGAATAATCACTAACTGAAAAAGCTCTTGATTGTTCAACTAATTCTCCTTGAAAGCACTTTGAGAAATGTATAGGGAACAGTATGGAGGATATTCATAATGATGTTAGGGTGTAAAAGGTTGAATTTATCTTCCTGCTCCACTTCTTTGAGGTGCATGTATGCATATGCATGCATCCATGTATGCATGTGTGCATGTATGCATGCATCCATGTATGCATGTATGCATGTATGCATGTATGTATGGGGAACAGTATGGAGGATATTTATAATGACATTCGGAAGTGAAAGATTGAATAGCCCTTATCGCATTTGTGTCTGCAATGCAAAGGGTCCGCGGAGTTACAGTTTCAGGACGAGGCTATCAGGTCAACGTTTCTCGAGAAACACCAGAAACACTCCATGTCTGACCATATAACTCTGGAATCTGCGCTTTTTTCTGCCGAGGAAAAGGTTAAAATTCTTAGTGGTAATTGTCCTGGCATCACGAAAGGAAGATTGAAAGAATGGCTGTCATTTCGGAAAGGAACGGCAAAATTTTGTCGCGTTTGTTCATGACTACGGTTGTTGTTCCTTTGTCGGCCTTTTTGAGGTTTAACTCAGAGTCACGTTTCAAGGCCCTCAGCGCCTTGCGTTCGGCCGGAAGCAAATTATCTTTTGGCTTTGTAATTTCTATTTCTGAAAGGTCACTTTTAACCTCTTCTAAATAGCTTTCAAGGGCTACTGATTTTTGTATTGGTGGTATCCATGTAGATTTGACGTGGCAGGGATGGGTTTTTTTGTCCTCCCCTCGGAATATGTAAATCAGACGCATTCTCCTTGCGAACTGATCAAAGTCACACAATAGTTGTTGTCTGATCTGTTTTTGTTTTGTAGCGGGTGTTGGNTCCAGGTTGACCGCGCATTAACGGTCTCTCAGCTGCACAAGAAGTTCCTTCCACGCATTAGGAGAATTCCGAACGGCCGTTAATTTAAAATTCTCGCTGGATTGGTTGCTCGACAAACCGACTTTTGTGGGATTTTTTTCGGTGAACTTAAAGGGCAACTATTTGGCTTTCGTGCTGCCGAATTTTGATTCGAGGGAAAGTATTTAAGTGTTGTTTTCGAGCGATTTTGGCGAGCATGTGTCAACAGAAGTTTCTGACCTTCCTGTATTTTATGCACGGTAATTTAGGTCATCAAGCTAAAACACATCAAAACGGCCTCAAATCGCGAGGAGAACAACACAGACTACTCTATACGAAGGTAAGACTTTATTTCTTTGATTATTTCACACAACTTGACATTTACGGAGCTCAAAGCAAGTCCAGCTAAACCACTATACAAACTCTTTAATTATTCACTGTGAAAGAGCCTGTGACAGAGCTTACGCTACCTGTTGATAAATAGGTTTTCTCGCATCGCGCCAATGGACGACAAAATCGCCATTATTTTCCAATTCTTTGCATTTTCACTTTGTCGAATGAAAAGAATAAAGGTGCTCTTTGTTAAACCTATCGAGAAACAGAGAATCGGCAAACGCCAAGGTCCTTTATTTTATCGGAAGTGATCAAAAGTGTGGGACTAAATTTTCTTCCTGCTGTGCTTACTAGTGACAGAAAAAGAAAAAAACAGTTCTTACTGCAGACGTGCGAACGACTCGCGGTCGGTTGTCTGTTCGGTGTCTGTAAACTCATAAACGTGACTTTTTTTTTTCAATCACTTAAAGCAGATGAAATATCTAGCTCAATATAAAGAGAAAACCTGGGAATTGTTTGTTAGATTGACTAATGCATGGGTGAAAATGCAAAGAATTGGAAAATAATGGCGATTTTGTCGTCCATTGGCCGAGTCTACAAATGTCTCAGTGCAGAAGAAAGGTTTATGTGAATGACAAAAAATAAAGGTGCTCTTTGTTAAAGCTATCGAGAAAATCGACAAACGTCAAGGTCCTTTATTTTGTCGGAAGCGATCAAAAGTGTGGGACTAAATTTTCTGCCTACTGTGCTTACTGGTGACAGAAGAAAAAAAATTCTTCCTCGTTAATCGTCATCATGATGTACTTTCTTTAAAAAAAATAATAAATCACGTACAACTAAGAACTGATTCAATTCTCCAATGTGTGTTCCCGAGATTTTAGACCTGTTGCCTCCCTGTATACTCCATGGAACTCACAACAACTCAGTGGGGCGATACAATTTTATCATTTTCCGAATCACGTCTCTTGTTAAATCCCGTCGGAAAAACGACTTAAACGTCTTCTTCTAATCAAGTGATTCTTCAGATGCATTATATCTGCTTTTACTTTAAGTATATGAGGTCAGCAAAAATTTGAAGAGATGAAGTTCACTCCGGCAGTCGCCAAAACCGGAAGTCAAAGATGCAATCACCTATCGACACTCGGGATAATTTAGAAATTTCATGTGAATATAGCATATGCACAAGTAAACCCGCTCTGTAGCTGTCGGTCTTCAATAGCAGTCTTAATAGTCGATAGGCAAAAATTGACACCTCCACAAAGTGGTATGGCTTTTCAGTATTTAGTATTTTCTCTTGTTTTCGCTGTAGCATACGAGAGATCTCGACCGAGTCACGTAGATGAGCAATCAATCATACCTATTAATTTATTTAATGTATTTAATTTATTTTGAATTGATCCGGCGATCCTTGATCCAGTTTTTCCAGGAAACCCTCGTTATTTGTATTTTGACTCGCCCTACTGTTGCACACTACTTTAATCACGCGAAATAACCAACACAACAAACAGTAACGTTCTCCTCGACTGTCGTTTTTCACCGTCTTGTTTTCCTCATGGGTTCCTTTTCTTTTTCTAATCCCATAATAATCACCTGGGCTAGTCCCAGTTACTCTCTTCCTGCTTGCCACACACTCCCCCCACGAAAAGAAATGTCGTCCCGACATTACAGAAAATAAAAGACGACAATTCATGAGTCATCCTGGTGATAACTTGGGGGGGAGGTGTTAGTGTCCCGACTTCAAACTGCATGCAGTTCAATCATCCGTAGTGCATGTTGAGTTTCTGTTTGACAATAATAGGGAAACTAGTAAGAATTCAACACAGTTCTGTTCGCCTATGATTAATACGTGGAGCGATAAAATGCGACAATAACAGTGCTCAGTGCTGGTGTATCCATACGGGCTGTGGTATATACTGCAACTGCGGGATACACGGAATTTGTGGGGTGTGGTAAGGTATGAGGCAACGGCCGATGATCTGGTAAGGAGATGTAACTGTAGGGCCTTGGATTGAAGTTACTACTGGTTGTAGACGTGTATACTCGACCTCTCTCATTTGACTGTACGTCAAAGTCACTGGAGGTCGCCGCTCCCTTCGTGGTCACGTAGC